GGAAATCCTCACAAGGTAGATTGTTTGCATAATTCTAGAACAAAGAAAAGAACACTCAAGAATGAATACAATTGAGCACAATAAGTGTTCTTGAAAGAAAAATGAATATTGAATGAAAAATAGGCTTGAAATGCTCAAACTTGAGGTTTGATGCTTTCTCTTTGATTCTCTCTTGATTCTAGTTGCTTGATGTTTCTTGTTATTGATCAATGGCTTCTAAGCTTTCTTAAATATACCTTGAATCACTTCTGAACGTTGGGGATCATTAATGAAGATAATATAGTCGTTTTAGTGTGAAATCAATTAATAAAACAGTTTGGAGCGTGGGGGAAATTGGTACCCCTCATAGGGAATCGGTTCCCTAAGTGTAAAATTCAAATATTTCGACCGTTGAACAGTGGGGGGAATCGGTACCCCCTGGGGGGAATCGGTTCCCTCCGAGCATACTGGAATTCTCAGAGCCAAACCATTCAGGAGGAATCGGTACCCCCTTGGGGGGAATCGGTTCCCTCTGAGCAATCTGGAATTTTTGGCTTTGAAACGGTTTGAAATACTTTGTAAAATTATTTTGAAATTGTTTTAAGATTAAAACTTAATTTTACACTTGAGTAAGGATTAAAAATGACTTTTGAAAGATTTAGAGTAATGTTTTGATATTCGAATAATTATATCGAATACACTTAGAAAATCTTTTTGGAAAATCTTAAAATTCATTTAACTTAATTTGTTATATCGAAATCTCAAAATATTTTCAACAGTTGGGTTTTTCAACTACAGAAGATAGTTTCTCTTTCCACAACTGAAGCAGAATATGTCGCTGTTACGAAAGCTAGCAAGGAGATGGTCTTGCTCCAAAAGTTTCTTGGAAGAGTTAGGCAAGAAACAAGAAAACACTGTCTTGTATTGCGACAGTCAAAGTGTTATCCATCTAGCAAAGAATCCGTCTTTTCATTCCAGGATGAAGCACATACAATTGCGATATCATTTTATCCAGTCTCTTCTGGAAGATGGGATTTTGAAACTTGAAAAGATTAGGGGAGCTCAAAATCTGGCAGACATGTTGAAAAGACGGTGACTACGGACAAACTGAAGTTGTGTTCAACTTCAGTTGGCATGCTAGAATCAAAAACTAGAAATGTTGTTGTATTGATCAAGGTGTGAACACATATTAAAATCGGTCTTCAAGTGGGAGATTGTTGAACTTTCAACAGCACATGGGTTGCTTGAAATTAGCAGCAAGCAGCCGGCTGCTTGAAAAAAATGGGACTGCTAAATTTTTTATTATTTTGTAATAGGGATAATTACAAAATTGAGTCATTGAACTTTAGGGTATTTTCAAAGATTAGTCCCTAAGCTTCAACTATAAATACCCTAGCTCATTTAGCTTCAAAATCATCCCAAATCATTTCTTTCTCCAATACTAGAGAGTTTTCTTGTGAGTAGTGAGTGTTTTGTAAACACCTGTAAATTTTCTCTCTTAGTAAAAGATTTGCAGCAGTCCGGAGACGTAAGCAAATTGGCTGAACTCCGTTATCAATTTCGGGTATTATTTTTCCGCTTTTATTTCGCATTCTCACTAATCTGGTTATAGGGAAATTACTCGTTACTCGTTTTATTTCCCAACAACGCCTCCAGGCATTAGATTGTAGTTAAGTAGTTTATTTCCTCCTTTTCAACAAAAAAAAGGACAATTGAAAATTTTATATCGTTTAATTGCAATTATTAAGGTAAAGTATCATTTTAATTAAGGCAAGGTATATAAGCTATAATTGATGGTATCATATGTTGCCATTATATGCATAATTTTGTTGCAATTATTGGGGTAAAGTATATACTAAAGTTATTCGATAGGGCCCAACAAGAAGCTCAAATCCACACCGAATCCATATCACTGTTGTCACATAGCCGGGCATGGAGAGAAGCAGACGGCCGAAAGGACACTGAAAGGTACGGAAATGGCCTCACCTCTTTAATACGTTATCTTACAATTTCCCCTAATTTTTTTTTTTGGTACACCCCCTAATTTTATCTTTTCACACTAAACTCTATTCCCAAAATTTTTGCTATAATAATATTTTAGATTTTTTTAATTTAAATATTAATAAAATAAAACATTTGTCCTTCTCAATTTTTATATTTAAACACTTAATAAATTCTTATTCTTTTGATATAAAATAATTTTGCTCTCTCAATATTTGATCGTAACTTTGTCCTTGAAAACAAACACGCACATAGATATAAGATAGAATCCTATTACATAATGTAAAAATCTTTTAGTTCTACTTAGATTTAAGACCGTTGGATGAATGAAAATAGATAGTTGAGATTAATAATAGGAAATAGGAAGATATTCACTTGGAAAAAAGAGAGTTAGACTCTGTCATCTATTTTAACTCATCCAACAAATCCTAAATCTATGTAAATTAAAAGAGTTTTACATTGTATAATAAGATCCTATAACCATTAACACAAGAAACTAGTCACTTGAGATCATACAAGGACCATATATATAAGGAAAATTTTAAAAACCCAACAAAAATACTCGAACATAAATAGATACGAAAAGATCTGACAGCATTAACAAACGAACCACAAAGGGGTGGAAAATATCCATGAACATAATCGCATATCTCTATCCAATCTGATGGTCCAAAGCAGAGAAGATCATCAAGATAACAAATAAACTCTATCTTGATCAGTCGAGACGTCGTCAAATTCAACCCTAACAAAAAAATGAAAAGAACAACCAAATGACCGAAAACGTGCAAAAAGGCAGAAGAACATATGCTATAAAAACATAGAAAAATGTGTCACAAAGGTTGAATTATTAAAATCTAAATCAAAAGAGAAACAAAGATGTAATATAAGAAAATAAGTGAAAAATAAGAAATATCGATAGTTGACAACCAACAGTAATACTTAGTGCCACCCAAGTCGAGCAAAATTAGAAAATGAGTTAAAAAGGTGAAAGGGAAAAAAAACTTAAGGAAAAACCTAGGGCGTGAGCACTTTCTTTTCAATATATATATATATATATATATACATTGTTATCCTCTCAGTTCTTAAGGTTAGTTTCAAGGCTTTGATACGTGAATCTCCCGGTAGGGATTTTCTAAATAAAGACTCAAACTCAAGACATTGCTTAAATGATATCACGTTGCTTACCACTTGAACCAACTCTAGTTGATTTCTTTTGAATTTAATATATTTTATCTTTTTTTATCACATCATCATTTTTTAAAAAAATAAATATTTTGTTCTTATTGAAATATTAGTATTAATTTGTTATTTTATAATTTATAATATATTTTAATTTTTTATGACACGGAAAAAAATTCAAAAATATTTTAATAATGATAAGATAATTTTTTTGACAAATTTCAAATTTAATCTTAATTCTACCTAGATGAGATAGAAAAGAGGGACTCTAAGAGAAGGAAAGAGAGCACTCTTAGTAAATCTAAAACTCATAACATAAAAGAATATGAGAGAATAAAAATGAGCATCTTGACCCATTGGCCAACTATATACTTGCTCTAATGACAAGATAACTTAAGTTCTTTTAACTACTTGATATTATTATATCATGTTTGAATTAATCTAAAAGTATAAAATTGAAGGCTAAAATGATCTTAAAACAATTAAATTTATAATAATTGATATTATTATATCATGACAAGATAACTTAAGGCTAATTTATAGTAATTATATCTTGACTTGATAATTTATGGTTTGGTATAATAAATGTTATATTATATATCATATTATAGTATAAAAAGAATTCTACAATGTTCGTCGAATGTAGATGAGTACGGTTAACGATGACCATCATTAGATTAATTTATAAAATGCTAAATTATAAAGCACTAAACGTGTAATTATAAATTAGTTAAAAATTTAAATATAATTTAATTAAAATATAATATTTATAAAACAATAATTTTTATAATCTTATTTTAATTATAATTAGATTAAATATTAATTTGAAAAATTTATAAACCATAATTTATATTCATAGCTTTGAAGTCATTTTACCACAGTTGTTGTCACCGTCGTTTTCGTCGTCGTCGCCACCGGTATCATCTTTCGCCGTCGATTTAGTCTTTGTCGTTCGTCGGTGGTGAAAGATGATACCGGCGACGGCGACGGAGGAGATGACGGCGACAAGAACTTCAAAAAAATAAAACAAATTAGTTGACCCTTATTCCCATATGTAATGGGGTAAGGGGGAGGTAAGATAGTAGGCTGCCCCCAACGCCAGGTTGAGAGTAGCTTCCGTGGGAGACCTCCAAATTATGAAATGCCCTCCGTAGGACTTGATCCCACGACCACAAGGTTAAGAACTTCAAAGTTATAAAAATAAATTAGAGTTTATAAATTTCCCAAATTAATATGTGATCTAATTATAATTAAAATAAGATTATAAAAACTAATGTTTTATAAATATTGTATTTTAATTAAATTATATTTAGATTTTTAACTAATTTATAATTATAGTTTTAGTACTTTATAATTTAACGTTTTATAAATTAATTTAATGGTGCTCATCATTAACGATGCTTATTTGTGCTTGTCAAGTGTGACAACATTATCCCATAGTATAATATTTCATTTTCTTCATTCCAATTAAAATTTTAGAGGTAATTTTTGTGGACTAAATTTTTAAACTTTAATTATAATTATTTTAAATAATTAAACTTTATAAAAGATTTTTAAAATTAGAAAAGTTTTCAAAATTTATGTATATTTTCAAAATATTAAAATCATTTTTTTCTTATTAAAATCATTTGATGGTTTTAAAGATTACATTATATACACATATAATATCATGCAACTTCGAGGAAGTAGGGGGTCTTCACAGAAATGCTAATGAAAAGGATAGTACCCAATGAAAGGTGCAAGGACTTCACCAATGCCACCATAAAAATATATTTCTCCATCTGTACATTTCATTGTCTTCCAAAGGCCACTCACTCTTTCCACGAAAAAACCTTCATCTCTTCCCTCTATATAATCCCTTCCCCTCTTCTCCATCCTACACCTCCCCTATTCATTTACCTTACCCCCACAAGTTATTACAACACTAAAGTTTCCCTAATGGAGCTCGACGTCACACTCGATTTCGAGGACTACTTCCCGTCGATGATGGAGAGGCTCGGAGCGGAGGGGTTCATAGGTGAGCTCTGCAACGGGTTTCAGCTGCTCATGGACGGCGAACGGGGGCTGATAACGTTCGAGAGCTTGAAGAAGAACAGCGTTATTCTGGGGTTGAATGACATGGGGGATGATGAGATCGTTTGCATGTTGAGCGAAGGGGACTTGGATGGAGATGGGGCATTGAACCAGGTTGAATTTTGCATTCTCATGTTTAGGTTAAGCCCTGGGTTAATGGTGGATAATAATATTAATAGCTCAAGGCAATGGATGGAAGAATATATATGATTATGATGTTATGTACATACATACATATATGCAGGTATGTATGTATGTATGTATGTATGTATGTATGTATGAAACTATATATGTATGATAATCTTTGTAAATCTAGGTTCCGTTGATCATTTTATCTTATTTAATTGTTTGGTAAGCTTGAAATTAATTCTCCAAGGTTGGAGAATTAAAGCATGTCCTTGGAGAATAAATAAATATGAAATAAATTGATTAACATCTTTAGTTCCACCATTTTTTTTCTTCAAATTTCAACTTTACCTTACTCAAAATTATCTTCTTCTCTCTCACACACACTCTATTTTGTTTTAATTTTGTGTTTTTTTTTAATTTCTTTTTAGAAATTTGGAATTAAAAACTTTATATATGCAACCATTATTGTAATTATGGCTAATAATATGATTATCACTTTGGGTAAACTACAACCAAGGTCATTTAATTATGAGTTAGGTAAAAAACATGTCACATTTAAAAAATTTATAAATATATCACTCAATTAAAATATTAATATAAACATACCACTTTACCGTTAAATATTAAACATAATAGTGATATGATCTAGTATAAAAAAAGTTTTAGTCCTTAAAACTTATATAATTTATCAATTTAGTCGTATTCCAAAATAATTCAATAAATTTAACCTTCGCATTTAAGATTTTTATCATTTTAATATTTTTTTCTTCTCTTAAATTACTTGTTCTTCTTCCATAAATGTTATATTACTTTCTTGTTATTTTATTGGTATAATAACAGTTTAACAATAACTTATTATTTTATGATAGAATACAATTATCCAACTACTACTTTGATTCGATAAGTTCGTTTGATTTTATTTGATTTAATTCTACAGATAAGAAAAACAAAAATCTACTATAAATGTAAAAATTATGAATAGTACAAATAAATGGTATCTCATATACTCAAAACTTAACATATATCCTCAAAATCTGATGTATCTGAAAACACTCTTGAAACACTTTTATTAAACTTACCTTTCTAATGTAAACCCTAAAATTTACAAAAATTACAACATAATTATATCTCTTCAAAATAATTCTTTTTTATAATTTTTAAAATTAAGATGTACTCTATATTTATAGATAATAAAATTATAGTTAATTATTTCAAACTCCTTGAATCCTTTCTGAAATCATTGAATTTAGACTTCGCGTGAGAAATTTATTTAACCTCAACCGACAATATATATATATATATATATATATATATATATATATATATACATGTGTGTGTGTGAATGATTGCCGGCTTCCAAGGATGTAATGTGGGGGAGATCTCATTGATAGAATCCAAAATCTGATTATTAAATGTCCTTTGAATAAATTGTCTGTACTATTTTGTTTTCCCTTTTCTCTACAAATCGTTCAACTTCTTTATCTTTGTTTCATCAACAAAGAGATTGATAACTTTCTCCGTCTCTCTTTGGACAATTATACGGTATAACTTATAATTTAAAGTTAAAAAAACAACGTAAATGGTGTACGGCCGAAAATATGATAAAAGAACATCACATTTTAAACTGAACACGATCTAAAAAAATGATGTTCTTCATAATATTTTCGGTTAGCAATTGAAAATGTTATTTTTTTTATAACATTAACATTTTTAATTGTAATCGAAAATATTATGAAAAAATCACATTTTACGTTACGCTCAACATAAAATGTTATACTAATTTTTATCACATTTTTGGTCGCGCTCCATTTTCATCATTTTCCAACTTTAAATTATGATTTCATTTCTTAGAATTTGCTCTCTCTTTGTTTCATTTTCGATTTCATAATTATTTATAGATTACAAACGTACTATCATCACCCAATGCCATATCTTGTACTTTGTAGCTTATCAAGTGAATTACTTTTTAAGATGATAACAAAATTATTTTTTTCTTTTTATTTTTCTTTTTAGATTAACCCTTTTTTTTCCTTTTGAGCTTGAAGAAAAGTGTTCATAAGGATACTTATTCAATTAAAATGAATTTAAAATAAGAGAAAAATTTAAAAAAAATAAGGAAAACAATATCAAATTAAAAAACAACCTAAAGACAAAATGGTGTACTTTCAGTATTCCTTTTTATTATTTAAATTTGAAGCGTGACTTGCATCCAAAATTTAAACTATTATTTTTTTAAAGTATGAACCTCATTAAAAAATCATTTTATAATCGACCTAGAATCGAAATTTCAGCAATCGAACAATAAGAAGGAAGAAAAGAATGCCTAAAAATATTATTAATAAATATTATCCTGTTTCCATATTAATCATTACAAATCATCCTATCCTATTGCAGTGTACACCAAACAGGAGAATTGAAAAAAAGCTAGAGCCCCCACGCGGCAATTATACAACTCCCCCAGCATGCAGAACTGGAAACAAATTCGCATCCCAAAATGCGACCAGACTCAAACCCAACTTTGCTAGCATAGAAATCTGAAAACAGATCACCCAATGCCCTTTTTAACCAGCGAATACTTGACTAATAGGAACAATTTAGATAATTTTATTCTAATAACTTAAAATTAAAAATATATATTTTTTAAAATCGAATCAAATTTTACTAAACTCTAAAAACAAGATAATGAAAAATGATAATCCTTAGTACATGTAACTCACGTATCACAATGTATAAAAAACCAAATATTTTATATAAAATCACCAAAACATTTCGTTTTCAAGACAACCTTTCTTTTATTGTTGTATTAATTAATTATTTTTGCATACTACTCCGTATTATGATAAATGAAGTAAAAGTTTTCATTTTCTATATAATCACTATATCTAATTTATTGATCAATTATTTTAAAAACTTATTATAAAATTAATGTTTTCTATTGAATTAATTATATTAATAACATTAAAATTTAAATTTCTAATCTTACTTGATGAACCTCATATTTCATCTAACTAGAACAATTAATAAATAGTGAAAAATTATATTTTTTTAAAGAATAATTGCACTATTTTTACATAGGACCATTGAATGGTTGTCTAATTTAGTGATTTTTTTTACTATCATGGTAATTAAAAAAAATAAAAACAACAACATGAGATATCAAAATAAGTCTTTATTTTTTAATTAGATCATTGTTAAAAAAAATGTAATTTTGAATTCAAAAGCCTCCTCGGATCCTTTTATGTATGATTAAACTTCAAATCAAAAATTATTACAGTCTCAAAAGACAAAAAAATACATATATGATCATCTCCGGCTTCCAGGCATGCATGTGGGGTTTGAACAGTTAATAGATCGCATGATATTATTGATAAAATCCAAAATCTCATGGTCAGCATCCTTTGAATAGAACGGTTTGCCATTTATTATTACTTGTCCCTTATTACAGGAGTTGTCCCAGTTTTTTCTTTTCCCCATGCAGACAGTTCTATCCTCTTGTTTATTAACGAAGTGTGTAACTTTGTCTCTCGTCCTTCAATTCTCTGTCTTTCATTTTACCATTTCATACTTATTTTGTGATTGAAACCATACTATCATCGCCCCCATTCCATTTCTTGTACTGTATCAATAGAAACTACTGTTGAAGATGATGAAATTTGCAGAAAGATGTTATTGCATTTATTTGTCATGCGACATATGTACATGGGCAGGTCATGGTTAAGTTGATAAGAAGCAACGTAAAAGAAGCTTGAGGAAATGAGCTTTAACCACGTCACACGTGAATTTAAAATTGACTTATATATGATTAGTACGTTCGTGAAAGATGGGGGTACAAGTAACATGAATTGCTGTTTCCTTGTCACAGTAAAGAGAAGTCGTATCGGCATTAACTCCAAAACATTTCGACGTTGCTGCAATCCGAAGTTAATCGAGTGGTGTAAAAGGTCATAGCTAGATGTTAGTACTGTTTTGCAGGCTCACGTTATTGTAAAAGATGTTGATATTTTAAAAATATAAAAACAAATTATATTCTTGTTAGAAATGTTAAGAATACAAAATAAATCTTATATAAAAAAAGAGAGTTTTTGATAGTTTATATGATGACGTTTTTTTTAGTATTGATGGATATATTTCTCCGACGTGCATATATTGTCGCTTACTAATGATTTATGGTAACTATATGTCTTCGATGCATACTATATAAATATAATATTAAAAAAATCAAAGATTAATTTTTTTTATAATATTTATACTGATTTTTGTGTGAGTGTTGATTTCAAGCATAATTCATTATTAAGACATAAAATGATTAAAACATTGACTTAAGGGTAAAAAATGGTGCGAAAGATGTTAGGATTAGACATCGAAGAAGCAAGAAGTGATGTGCGTAGAAAATTGTTGTGGGGGCATCACTCTTTCAATTTCAAAATGGCCAAATCAGTGTTTGCTTCAAGGGAGTATATGCAACCCATATTCTGTTCCCTATCTTCTCACATATATTATTAATTATCTCAATATATTTATTGTGGAGCTTGTTATTTTGTAAACGGTATTAAGAAGTTCAAATATATTATTTTTATCATCATTTTAAAACGCATGACAACTTTTCAATTATAAATTATAAAAGTAGAAGAGAAAAAACTTCATTATTAGTTCCATCGTACAAGAAATTATTTTATGGACACCTCCAACCATATTATTTAATCTCTATTAGTGAATACCACCTATTTCATTATATTTTTTATATACTAATCGATTCAAAATTAACTTTTAAAGCATCGAGAAACTATATCATAAAACTATCTTACTTCATCAGTCATAATCTCAACCAATGAAAAAGAAAATAAATGGCATCGAAAAATATAAGTGAAGATTTATTGGTTAAAGAGATGCTATGAAAAGAAGTGGATTTTTTCATTGATGGTGACCATGAGTAATATAATGAAGAGAAAATAACCTCAGTGACCAAAAATACCTTATAATATATGATTTTAATCAACTTTTTTTTTTGATTTGCTAAAATGACCAACTAAATCGCAATGCGATCGATAATTCGCAACGCGATCTCCGGTATCGCAAATCAGTTTCCAGATTCGCAATGC